GGGGAACCATCCTGGGTACCACTGTCCACAATCCCGTGGGGAAAACGATCACAACGACGACCACCCTTCACAATCCGCCCGTAGCTCCGCGAAGACCAACAGAAAATAGAACTGTTAGTTTAAAGTGTAGCATATATAATAGCAGTAATTCAATACCTTTAGATAATACTATAGTTACGCCAATTCGCGTTGACGCGCTTGAAGGTGCTCTTTGTGGGCATCCCAATTCATCATTCGTTTTGAAACTCTGTTCAGACTTGCGTTTCGGTGCTCGTCTCGGTTACGATGGTCCTCGCATGTCAAAATTTTCGAAAAACCTCAAGTCTGCCATTGACACAGTGCTCTCACTTTTAAGGAATTATCCTTAAAAATAGGAATTTTGAAGAGTTTTAAGGATTTTTTTAAGGAATTTAGGTTTTTGAGGATTTTTTAAGGAATTTCCAAAACATTTTATCCTGGACTAAAAACGTTTTGACGGAGAATAACCACGCCACGCAAATGAGATTTAAACTTGAAAGTAGCAACATTATATGCACATAACTACATATATTCGTATGTTCTCTATGTCCTAAATGTACATATGGCTGTCTTTCCATTAAAATTCTCAAAAGTTAAATGTCAGTGTATGCTGTTTCTTCTGAAATCTACAGATTTTCTAAGTCCTTAGGGCCCTAGGCCCTAGCGACCGGGGGAGGGGAGAGGGAGGGTGCAACACCCCTAATATTGTTCATGAACAATTTCAGGTAGATATCCTGTAGATTTTCAGGTAAATTCAGGTAATTCTCAGGGCATACTCTCTAATCTGAATTGGAGTTAACAATCAAACAAACTAAAGACGTTGAGACGTGTTGTGGCAGGGAGACAATTGCGAAATACCCTTTCTGACGATCTGGAGACTCCAAATTTCCAAAATCGATTTCCCATTATAAACTGAAAGTAGCAATACTTATCTTCATTGTTAGGCAATACTAAAATATTGGGTAGGAAAGACTCTAAAAATGCCATTTCCAACGGTCTAGAAACTTCAAATTTTCAAAAAATACGGTTTTAAAGAACGTTCAGTTCGAAAAATTCAGGTAAATCAGGTGAAAAAAACACTTTTTGCAACTCTGTGATCAGGCCTTGTAGTAATTTTACCAATTTAAGGAATTTTAAGGAAATCTGAGGAATTTTCGAGCTTTTTCTAAGGAATTCGAAAATTTGATTGTGAGAGCACTGCATTGACAATCCAACTATTGTTTCAACTAACTTAGCTAAGGAAGTTGCTCTTGGCCACACAGCTGGTCCTTTCACCAATCCGCCATTTGCTAATTTACAGGTTTCGCCAATTGGCATTGTACCTAAAAAGCATTCAGATAAATTTCGAACCATTTTTCACCTCTCGTTTCCAAAAAACGGGAGAATCAATCAATTCCTTTATCGAGAAAGACGACTTTTCATTGCAGTACATAAAAATCGACGACGCAATTGCGGCTTTAATCCGATTAGGCAGAGGCACTTATCTAGCTAAAACTGACATAGAATCTGCTTTTCGTCAATTCCCTATTCATCCTGACGACTGGGAGTTATTAGGCATATATTGGAACAAGTCCTATTATTTTGACAAAGTGTTGCCATTTGGTCTGCGTAGTGCGCCGTATATTTTCAATCAACTTTCGGATGCACTTGAATGGATTTTACTCAACAAGTGTTTTATAAGCTATGTTGGGAACATTCTAGACGATTTTCTCATCATGGAACCACCGGCCCAAACTGGGCTACCTTCTCAAGCATGCCAAACTAGCCTTTCTAGCATGTTGCTAACATTCCGCACGTTAGGTGTTCCTATTGCCGAGCATAAAACTGAAGGACCCAGTCTCATTATAGAATTTCTAGGCATTATCATTGACTCACAAAAGATGGAGGCTCGTCTTCTATCCGATAAATTGAACCGCCGGTCTATTTGTTGATTTAAATTCGTGGCACACAAAAAAGTCAGCTACACTCCAAGAGCTCCAATCACTAATTGGCACATTAAATTTTGCATGCAAAGTAATTGCCCCGGGTCGAGCTTTTCTGCAACGTATCATAAATCTAACACGGGGTGTCTCCAAACCACATCATCACATTCGCTTAACGAATGGTTTTCGCGAAGACGTAAAAATGTGGCAACTTTTTCTTAAAGACTGGAATGGGACAAGCCTATTTCTCAACTCTTTCTGGGAAAATTCTACAAACCTTTCTCTCTATACGGATGCCTCGGGGACCCTTGGTTTTGGGGGAATTTTTCGCAACCAGTGGTTTCAGGGTAAATGGTTGCCTCACCAAACACTTACCACAAAAAATATCAGCATTGATTGGCAAGAGCTCTATGCTATTGTGGTAGCCTCCTGCATATGGGCACCTTTATGGGCTCAAAAACGAATTGTGTTTTACTGCGATAACCAGGCAGTGGTTTCCATAATCAATTCCAAACGTTCAAAAGCCCTCGTATTATGGACTTAGTGCGTCCTTTAACCTTACAAACACTGAAATATAACTTTTATTTCAAAGCCTTACATGTGCCTGGTCATTATAATGACATTGCTGATTCTATCTCCCGTTTTCAGCAAACCAGATTTCGGCGGCTAACACCGCATGCAGACCATCAACCTCAACCTCTACCAGAGGAACTTTCTCGTCTCTAGACGCTGACTTACGTCGTTATCAACTTGCTTCGTTAGCTAAAGGTACGATTAAACTTATAGCAGTGGCGAAAAACAGTTCACGAATTTCTACTATCAATTCCATTTACATAAGTATGTGCCACTTCTGCCAACAACGGAAAACATTCTGATTTACTTTGCTGTTTTTCTCGCTAAGACGGTAAATCCAGACACCATCAAAGTCTATCTCGCAGCAGTACGCCATATGCATTTGGTTAACGGCTACGACCTTCAAATCACCAAATTTCAACGCCTACACTATATTTTGCGAAGTATAAAGCGAGTAAAAGGAGTGTCTACAAGAACACGCCTACCAATTACATTAGACCATTTGAAATTGTTTCACCGCATATTACACTCACGGACATCGCCAACACATGATGAAACCATGATTTGGGCAGCGATTTCCATAGCATTTTTCGGGTTTTTGCGGATTGGTGAAATGACTTGCTCCGGTCCTTATAATTCTTCAACAAATCTTTGCCGATCAGATGTAAGTTTTCATAACAAAAAACGTGGGGATAACGAGGTTTTTCTGCAACTACGAATTAAAGCGTCAAAAACCGATCCGTTTCGAGCCTCAGCCACAATAACCATTGGCAGCAATTCTGGTATATATTGTCCAGTAAGGGCCCTTCAAACCTACCTTTCACGTGCGCCAACGGACTATGCGGGACCATTGTTTTGCTACTCAAACGGTGTTCCTTTATCACGTAGTCAATTTACTAAGGAACTACGAACACTTTTGGCCCAAGGTGGTCATCACCCTGCTCACTATGCAGGCCACAGCTTTAGAATCGGAGCGGCTACCACAGCTGCGTCCCAAGGTTTGCCTCATTTGCTTATTCAAACGCTAGGAAGATGGTCTTCCGATTGTTACCTCAGGTATATTCGCACGCCAATCAATGTCCTTACAGACGTTTCAAAACGATTGATTGCAGAGTGAAATAAACACTCGATCGTTGTTTGTCGGTCTATGGGGATCACACACACTATCGTTGTGTGATTGTGGAGGCAATTGCTCTAGTATGAGGTCGCAATTTTACCATAGACCTCACGTTTTCTTTACGGAATTTGGCAACCTGGCATACAGCCAATTCCCATTTACAAAAATCACTCTATTTCTGCATATGAGTATATGTGCTGAGCCAGATCAGTGTTCTAAGAAATATTTCCCTGATCATTTTTTTCCAGGGCCCAGCTCAGAGTATATGTCTTGCAGGGCAGGCTAGGATCCAGCTCTAAATGGAGTATATGTTCTAGCCGACTCAGGACCCAGCTCTAAATCCGTAAAAGTATATGTCTTGGGCAGATTAGGACCCAGCTGCAAATCAGTATATGTCCTAATCGACTTTCCCCAAGATCCAGCTTTTCAATACGAGTATATGCCCTGGGAACCGCTCAGCACCCAGCTCTTCGCAGATAAAAAATACAATATATAGAGCAGTTGTCCCACACTTCCATAACCCCACAAACATTGTGTTCTTATGCGTGTCGTTATATTAAATATCTCAATATATACATATTTATTAAACGGTGAGGACATTAATATCAATAGAGCACTTTTCTGCAAAATTTTTTATAATCTATTTGGATATTGAAGCGGAACAACTATAGAGTTAAATCGAGTATGAATACGAAGATTTATCGAAAAAATCTTATTATCATTACCGTAGCTATACACAGATATGAGATTTAGCGAATTTTTATTAAAAATGTTTATTAACCATTATTCGGAGAATTATTGCATCAATTGATTATTTGAAGTACTATGTGCATGTTCTTATCTTTTAAAACTGAACTCCAGGATTTTAACTCAATTACGTTATATATGGACGTCATGTTCCGCCATCTTAAATTTCGCGTCTTTGATTAGTGCGTCATAAATGGTAAAAAAATAATTAAAACTCAAATGTTAGGCAACTTAAAAAATATGCTTTAGGTACAATACAGTAGTGAAGGTCGATCGTGAAGGTCTGATCCTCAGCCGCCAGACCAGCATATGAATAAATAGCTTCTACAAATACTTCCCTTGTCAATTTTACTGTTGCACGTCAGCACGTACAGCAATAACTGATCAGTTTCCCAAGCTGAGAAGGGCATTAAAGTATCACGTTTCATACTTTCATTTCGAAAACCAAGCATTTTTTGTCGTTTTATCGTATTTATCGATATATATTCATTTCCAGTTTATCGACGCTTTCCGACAATTCCCGATCCATCATTTCCATGAACAGCTAACCCAATCTTGAAAATTGTCTTTGTATATTAAACAATGTATGATATGGAGGAGAAGGTACTAATGGTGATGAATACATAATATCTTGCCGAGTTGATGTCTTGATGAGATTGTATTGCATTGCATTGCATTGTGTTGCATCGCATCGCATCGCATTGCATTGCATTGCATTGCATTGCATTGCATTCAATTCAATTCAATTTATTATGTCAAACTAATTTACAAAGTCAATAAATATCTTGCTGTCCACAAGTAGCAAAAGCTAATTGTGGTGGACAGCAACTACACACATTCGGAATTAAAGAATATTTCAGAATTCATTTAGTAAATACAAGCACTATTCATCACCAAAAGGCATACGATAGAAATACATTCACCATACAAACATAATCTCTAACGAGTGATCAAACACAAACTCTAACGAATGATCAAAATCCAAAATTAACGAATGATTAAAATATGATTAAAATCCAAAATATGATTAAAATCTAACGAATGATTAAAATTCAAAATCGTAAAATGATTTAACTTTTAGATTCTTGCGATTTATTTTTGTATTGTTAGAATATCAGTATAATCGTCTTTCTTTTCTAATATTTGAAGTAACTTTCTATCTAAAACTTTTTTAAAGTGATTCTTTAGTTTTCACGTAGTTCTGTAGGAATGCTATTCCAAATTCTATACCTCCCATTCTTGAGAATGATTTGCTTTGCACATCTAAACCCTGAATATTCAACGTGGACGTTCTTCCTAGTGGAAGATCTGGTGTTGCGTTCGTGTACCTGACTTAATGGGGTAAACAAAGCCGAAATATTTGGGGGTACTACTGTTTTTGATACGTCATGCATTAAAATTCGTACGATTTGTAAGAAAGCAAATTTATTGGCAGAACATTAGCTGACTGAAAATAAGGAATGGCAAGAGAAAGATAGTGTGCAGAATATATTAAACGAAGAGCGCGTTTTTGGAGTTTAAGGATTTTATCAATGTAGCATTTGGCAGCACGTTCCCATACAACGATACCATAAGTTAGGTAAGGCAGCATAAGGGACTTATAGATACTTAGTATTAGAGTACTATATATATATATATATATATATATATATATATATATATATATATATATATATATATATATATATATATATATATATATATATATATATATCTGTATATACAAACAGGTTATAACACTGCCACGACTCCAAGTGAAATTATTTAATAAAAAAATATATATAGCTTTAAATTTTCGGCAGCATGCCACCGCCTTCGTCAAAAAGTAAATGAATATAGTAAATTACTCTCCTTATATACAACAATATAAGTGATTAAACTAATTAAAGCAATATAAACAAAGCCTACAGACCTATTGTTGGGAATAATCATGGCTGGTATTCAAACCCCCCAGATTAGTGAGCAAAGTGCCTATCCAAAAGTTTTCACACTTTCTTAAGAGGGCCTCTCAGTAAAATCCACCCACTGGTTTGGGGAAGGGAAAATAGATTTAGCTTATATTTTGCATATGAACTAGACTTTGGTCAATATTAATCGAGCTTCTTTCAGAACGTTTCAACTTTCTGTTTTATAGGAGTTATAGCCATGTTAAATTTGACCTTGCGAGAATATTTTCAGACCGGAAATGAAGGGGAATTTTACACGAATTCATCTGATTTTTTAAAAATGTTGTGATGCGTTTATCCCCTCCAGTTACTATTCACATGCAAGATTAACACTAATACTCTCGTTTACATGGAGATTGAACAACTTTATTTGCTTAATACGATTTTTTATAGTTTTACGAAACTATGTTTTCAAGATGGCGACGAGAGGTTTAAAATTGCTCATATTTTACTTAAAATAGCTCAAAAGTGGCACCTATCTGAAGTTCAAAAGGCATGTAATTTGAAAGTATACCTACTAAAGTTAAGTAATCAGGAATAAAACTCGTCTGCAAGCAATTTTCTGAAAAGTTATAAATCTCCAAATTGGGTCTATTTTTAGCTGTTTGTTTATATTCGCGTGTTCGCTGATCAGCGACACTAGTAATAATTAAAAAGTTAAATAAGCTGGTTATTATCCAGCTTCTAATTCACAACATAAAAACATTAAAAATACAACCTTAACCATTCTTGGCTTATTCGCATGAATAATTTCACAACTGTTAAATATCTTTTTAAGGTATAATCGGGCAGTACTTTCTGTGGTTGTAGCAAATTTCAAAGCTGTCAGTATCTCTGGCTGTATATAAAAAGTGTTCGGGGCTTTAAGTTTTTTATTCAACTCGTCTCGTAATCTTTTTCTGTCCCTGCAAATGGAAATTTTGCCGGAAAGGTCGGACATTAATTCTTGCAGCATGGATGCAACATATTTTTGTACATAATTGCAGTCAAAATACTACAACCTTCCCACTTCCGCTTTTGTAGTCTGTTGTCATTTACTATTTTGTTTTGACTTTTGCATTATTGTAGCGGTTGCCGAATTATGGAGAAATATGGCGATAAAATTTAGTTGTTTTTTATTTTTGTAATATTTTAAATAATTGTAACAAAGGATGCATTTTTCGTTTGATTCACTGCATATGAACACATAAAAGTTTTGAAATTTAACTTATGTCGTCGTATTTCCCTATAATTTGTTAACCGCTACAATAACAGAAATACTGCAGTAACAGACAGAGATTTTCAAAAAAATAGTTTTTAAAAAAGTTTTAAAAGAGTTTTAAAAAGCAAAAAAGTTTAAAAAGTTAGATTTTTAAAAAAGTTAAAAAAATTTAAAACGGTTAAAAAAGTTAGGGTTAGGAGTTAGGGGATTAGTGGTTAGGGGTTAGTGCCGCGAATTTATTATTATGATAAATTCAAAATGTGCTGCGAATTTATCATAATGATAATTTCGGAGTGTTTAAGAATTTACTCATATAGTAAATTCAAAGGTGGAGCTCATGCTGAACTGCAACACTAGCTTGCCAGTTATTTTTGATAGCAGCTCCTATTTTTACTTTGTGCATGCTTGAGTCATGGAAAAGAACTGTTCTTTTGCTGGCCTGGGGAATTTTGCATGTGGAGAAAGCCGGGGAATACAGAAAGTTGCACAAATTGGGGAGTGTAATGCAGACATTTGTACTCACCCCAGCAGTTGTCACCTCACGAGGCTTACCATCAACGAGAGTGAACTTATACTTGCCAGAGCAGGGCACTTTTACCTACCCAGGAACAGCTGACAAACATGACTATCCAGTCTGTTATTAGATCAGTTTCATTTTCAATTGGGTCTATCCTGTCAATATGAGATCAGTGGATAGACTTATATAAAAATGAAGCCAATAGACAAATTTGGCTAACGTTGTTTACATCGTTGCTACCCAATTCACAGCTTTGGATAACTCACATGCCTAGTTACTATTGTTTTAGTTTACAGAAGCATAGACTGAATAGAACAAAAATAACTAAACATTAAACTTATGTATTATCACTTTATATTTACTGAGATCGAGGGAAACAGTGTATTTTGTGACCAGAGCCACTTATAGATAGTATATAAGTGTTAAAGTATGAATAATTCACCGATTATTGGAGTGAACTTAATTTGAAACCAAAACTGGATAAATGGAACGCCGTAAATAAAAAGTTTAAAAAATGAACTTTGAAACTTCGCGGTTGACACGCATGCGTATTGCACCCATTTTATTATTGACTGGTCAATAAATGTTT